CGAGCTCTGTCTCTCTTTCTCTCAAAAATAAACAAACATTAACAACAACAACAAAAATTTTTAAAAAGGAAGAAGTAGGAAATCTGAACAAATCAATTACCAACCAGTAATGAAACTGAATCAGTAATTTAAAAAAAAAAAATCCCAACAAACAGAAGTCCACAGTCAGATGGCTTCATAGGTGAATTCTACCCAACATTTAAAGAAGAATGAATACCATTCTTCTGAAACTACTCCAAAAGAAAGGGAGAGAGGAAAACTTCCAAATTCATTCTATGAGGCCAGCATTACCCTGATACCAAACCAGACAAAGACACTACACAGAAAAGCCATAGGCCAGTATCTCTGATGAACGCAGGTGCAAAAATCACCAACAAAATATTAGCAAACCAAATTCAACAAGACATTAAAAGGATCATTCACCACGATCAAGTAGGATTTATTCCAAGATGCAAGGGGGGTTCAATATTCATAATTCAATTAATGTGATACATAACTTTAACAAGAGGAAGGACAGAAACTATATGGTCCTCTCAAAAGATGCAGTTAAAGCATTTGCCAAAATACAACATCTTTCACAATAAAAACTCTTAACAACATAGGTATAGTAGGAACATACCTTGTTAAAGTTCATAAATGAACACTCCGCAGCTAACATCATCCTCAATGGTCAAAAACTGAGACCTTTTCTTCCAGGATGAGGAACAAGACAAAAGATGTTCACTCTCACCACTTTTATTCAACATAGTGCTGGCAAGTCCAAGCTGCAGCAACCAGACAAGAAAAAGAAATGAGAGGCATCCAAATCGTAAGCAAAGAGTAAAGCTGTCACTATTTGCAGATGACATGATACTATATATAGAAAACCAGAAAAGACTTTGCCAAAAAAAATATTGGAACTCATAAATGAATTCAGTAATCTTCCAGGACACAAAATTAACGTACAGAAATTTGTTGTTTCTATGTGCTAATAATGAAGAAGCAGAAAGAGAAATTAAGAAATCAATCTCAGGGGCATCTGGGTGGCTCAGTTGGTTAAGCATCCGACTTCGGCTCAGGTCATGATCCCATGGTTTGTGAGTTCGAGCCCCGCGTCGGGCTCTGTGCTGACAGCTCAGAGCCTGGAGCCTCTTTCAGATTCCGTGTCTCCCTCTCTCTCTCTCTCTGACCCTCCCCTGCTCACACTGCCTCTTTCTCTCTCTCAGAAATAAAGCATTAAAAAAAAAAAAGAAATCAATCTCATTTACAATTGCGGTAAATATAATTAAATACCTAGCAATAAACTTAACCAAGGAGGTAAAAGACCTGTACTCTGAAAACTGCAAGGTGATGATGAAAGAAACTGAGGACAACACAAACAAATGGAAAGATATACCATGCCCGCGCACTGGAAGATTATTAAGATGTCCATACTCCCCAGAGCAATCTACAGATTTACTGCAACCCCTACCAAAATACCAACAGCATTTTCCACAGAAACAGAACATACAACCCTAAAATTTGTATGGGACCACAAAGGACCCTGAAAATCCAAAGCAATCTTGAGAAAGAGCTAAGCTGGAAGTATCACGATCCCAGATTCCAAAATATACTACAAAGCTGTGGTAACAAACTAGTACGGTAATGGCACAAAAATAAACCTATAGATCAATGCAGCAGAAATACACCCATTGCTTATACGGTCAATTAAGTTATGACAAAAGAGCTGAGAATATAAAACAAGGAAAAGACAGCCTCTTCAATAAATGGTGTTGGGGGAACTGGACAGCCACATGCAAAATAATGAAATGACAATGTATTTATGGATATGTCTCCGCAGGCAAAGGAAACAAAAGCAAGAACAAACAACTGAGACTTTCAGCAAAATAAAAAGCAAAGCAAAGCAAACTATCAAAACGAAATGACAACCTACTGAATGGGAGAAGACATTTTGCAAATGATATATCTGATAACGAGTTAACATCCAAAATATTTAAAGAACTTACACAACTCAACACCAAAAAACTAAAATCTGATTTAAAAATGGACAGAAGACCTAATAGACATTTTTTCCTCAGAAGACATACAGATGGCCAACAGACATATAAAGACGTTCGGCATCACTCATCATCAGGGAAATGCAAATCAAAACCACAATGAGATACCACCTTACATGTGTCAGAATAGCTAGACTTAAAAAAGACAAGAAATAATATGCTGACAAGGATGTGGAGAAAATAGAACCCTCAGGCATTCTTAGTGGGAATGTTAATTAGTGCACTGAGGAGTACAGTGTGAAGGTTCCTCAAAAAAAAAAAAAAAATGGAATTATCATATGATCCCATAATTCCACTACTATTTACTCAAAGAAAATGAAAGCACCATTAATTTGAAAAGATATATGCACTCCTATTTTTATTGCGGCACTATTTATAATAGCAAGATATGATACACACACATACACACTGGAATTTTTTTTTTTTTTTTTTTTGGAATTTTTTTTTTAAGTTTACTTGAGAGAGAGAGAGAGCATGCGCACACATGAGTGGGGGAAGGGCAGAAAGAGGGGGAGAGTCCCAAGCAGCACAGAGCCCAGTGCAGGGCTCAATCTCGCCAACTGCGAGATCATGACCTAAGCCGAAATCAAGAGTCGGGCGCTTAACGTACTGAGCCACCCAGGTGCCCACACATACTGGAATATTACCTGGACATAGAAGAAGTGAAACCTTGCTATTTGTGACAACATGGATGGACCTTGAGGTACTGTATGCAAAGTGAAATATGTCAAAGGCAAACACTAGAAATTTCATTTATATGTGGAATCTAAAAGCAAACAAAATATAAACATTTTAAATACGGAGAACAAATTGGTGGTTGCTAGAAGGGAGGTGGATGGCAGGGGGTGGGGGTTGATCAAAATAGACAGAGATTAAGAGCCACAAACTTCCAGTTGTAAAATAAATAAGAAAATGACAAGTACCACACAGTAGTTGTGGGCATTGGTGAGTATTCTATACAACGATAGAATTGTCAAATCAGTATCTTGTGTCCCTGAAACTAACACTGTATGTCAATTATACTCCGATAAATATATAAAAAAATAAGAAAAAACCGGTTCTTATAAAATAGAGCTTGCCTTAGCAATTCCCCTTGCAGGTATTTTCCAAGAGAAATGAAAACAAAGACTCTACGTGAATGCTCACAGCACCGTCATTCATAATGATCCCAAACTGGAAACAATCAAATGTCCATCAGTTGGCGAATGGAGAAGCAAACTGTGGTAAAGCCATACAATGGAACGCTAAGTCATTAAAAAAGGAATGCAATACTGAGTAGAGTGGTAACAGGGATGAATCTCAAAAGCATTATGCTAAATGAAAAGCTAAACCAAGAAGGCTACATATGGAATCGTTCCATTTACATGACATTCTAGCAAAGGCAGAGCTGTAGTGATTGAAAGATCAGTGGTTTCCAGGACTCAAGGTGAAATAAGTAGACTGACTGCAGATGCATAATCTGGGGGGTGATGGGAATACTATCAATCTTGAATGTGAAATTTACATGAATGTATACATCTGTCAAAACTCAAACTGAATACTCAAAATGGGTAGATGTAAATTAAAGCTCAGGAAATCAGATTTTCTTAAATACACAGATCTTCTGATTGCTATTTTTCTTTTTCTTTTAAATGTTTTTTAATGTTTTATTTATTTCTAGGAGAGAGAGAGAGAGAGAGACAGCGTGAGCAGGGGAGGGTCAGAGAAAGAGGGAGTCAGACTCTGAAACAGGCTCCAGGCTCTGAGCTGGCAGTCAGCACAGAGCCCGACGTGGGGCTCGAACCCACGAACCGCGAGATCATGACCTAAGCGAAAGTCGGACGCTTAACCGACTAAGCCACCCAGGCGCCCCATGATTGCTGTTTTTCTTAATACTTGCAGGTGCAAGCCCCTAGTCTATCAGGGTTATAGACAGATTTTTTTTTTAAGTTTATTTTGAGAGAGCGAGCGAGCGAGCTTATGCGTGAGTGTGTGAGGGGCAGAGAGAGAATCCCAAGCAGGCTCTGCCCTCTCAGCACAGAGCCCCACACTGGGCTCGTTCTCACGAACAGTGACATCATGACCTGACTGAGATCAAGAGTTGGACGCTTAACCAACTGAGCCACGCAGGCTTTCAAAGGTTCAGTGTGATGGCACCTGGGTGGCTCAGTTGGTCGAGCATCCGATTCTTGATTTCAGCTCAGGGCATGATCTCAGGGTCCTGAGATCGAGCCTTGTGTCTGGCTTTGTGCTGAGCCTGGAACTTACTTGGAACTTTCTCTCGCTCTCTCTGCTCCTCTACCCTACTTGCACACATGCTCTACCTACAATAAGACCCACTGTGATCAGGGTGACGAGGGCTAGTAGCAAAGGTTGCTTATGGGAACACACAATAATTCAGAGCGGGAAGGTGTGGGAGGCCCAGCAGTTACCTCCACTCCTCTACTCCTCCCCCTGTGGAAGCTACTCCTCTACTCCTCCCCCTGTGGAAGCTGAAAGACAGATTTTTGCTTTTCTAGCTTCTTTAGCTAAGGGTCCCCCGTGACCTGGTTTCATTTCAAGGAGGCCTCAGTGGCTAACGCTGTAGCTTCTGGTAGGGCTTTTGCTTTCCTGATAAAAGGAGAGCCTGTTACACTGCCCTTTCCCCTTTTTTATTATTTATGTATTTTAAGTTTTTTTTAACATTGTTTCATTTTTGAGAGACAGAGACAGAGTGTGATTGGGGGAGGGGCAGAGAGAGGGAGACACGGAGTCTGAAGCAGCTCCAGGCTCTGAGCTGTCAGCACGGAGCCCGACGTGGGGCTCAAACTCGCTGACCAACTCACTGACTGTGAGATCATGACCTGCGCCTAAGTCGGACGCTTAGCAGACTGAGCCACCCAGGCGCCTCTTTCCTTTTTTAAATGGAAAAAGAGCTCTGACACGAACACACAAAGAATGCTTCAAGTAGAGAAGAAAATCCAATGACTTTTTTTGGGGGGGGGCACATAAATATATTTATTTATGCGATTGTTAGATTACTGCAGTTTCTTCAAATACAAGGAATAATCTCTACATTTTCATGACCATTGTATGAAGTCTGATGTCCTATTTCCCTTTAGGCTTCTTTATTTTCTTGAGTTGGGTTCTGTGCCAAGAATATACAAGTCGTTCCAGTGCGAGTAAACGATCTCGTGATGATAACTGACGGAGTCAGGGCGTGAAGGGCTACTGCTCAGGTAAGCAGAGGACTTTACACGTCATAAGTGAGATCAGGTGTTGGTCTAGTAAAGTTTGGATTTTTATCAGAACTTCCATCTGAAGTATCTTCTGGGATTCCCAGTTTCTCCTCTGATATATCTGCATAGTCGTATCCTTGTTTCCGAGCTCGCTCAAATGGGAAACCTAGAGAGAAATGACAAATGTTGAGAAAGATGTCACATACGGGAAGGAGCAGACTCATCCAGCACACTGCTCAGTGTACAGCCGGCGAGGTCCCTTCTGTGTTCCTCGCTATCCCGCCTCGAGCGGATGCCTTTGTATCCTTCTCAACTGAAGCCATATTGTCCTGAGTAGTTCAGTTCCTCCTACTCTTCACTACACAGCGGTTCGTCTCTACGGAAGGTTCCGCGGGACCTGGGCTTGAGGTCTGAGCCACTACTAAGAAGCTGTGCATTTGGGGCAAGTTACTGAACCTGTAAAATGGCGATAATAATAGCACATACGTACCTCAGAATTATGAGAATTAAGTGCAATGGTGCGGTAAAACACCGTAGCATTTAGTTCGTCTGGCCTTCAGCTAGTGCTCCACAGTTAACTATTAGCTAACGGTTCGAGAGAAAAGGTTCCAGACCTTCTCCGGATTTGATTTCCTGGTGCTTCTTGGAGAAGTGACACCCATTGTCTCCTCTTCTCCCACGCCAACACCCTCAACGTGCCCTCCTCCACGGACTGCACTCATAATGTGGATCTGCAGCACTTGATTCTCTGTCCCTCCCGATGGCCACGCTATCACCTCCCTTCTTCTCACAGTAATCTCTTTTAGCTCAGTATTGATATTCTCTGCTTCAGGTCTGTACTTGCCATGCCTTTATGCCACTGAGGACCTACTACGTGCTACGGATTGGGGTTTCAGGTCAAAGAGACAAATCCCTGCAGTCAAGTCAGGGCGGTGACTTACAGCTGTTCTCTAGAAGGCCATCAACGCCATGAAGCCCCGCAAGTGGAAACCACAGGGCATTTCTGAAGCACCAGCCAGAGGCTGGTGATGCAGGTTTGTGAGTGAGGGGGGAGGGCAGGACATGACAAGGGGGGTGGGGGGGCAGAAGCAGAGCCAGAAGGCCGTGATAACGTCTGGATTTTACTCCACGTGCGGTGGGGATTCAGGAGACGCGGCAGAAGGCCCTCATCGTTAAGAACGTGGTCTCTGAAGCCAGCCTGCCTCCGTTCACATCCCAGCCATCCCGGGAACTGACTGCGTGACCCTGAGCAAGTCACTTGGCATCTCGGTTTGCTCATCTGTAACCTGCACCTGGTCTCAATGAGTTGTTCTGAAAATTAAATGAGTTATTTTATAAAGCGCTTTCAGACAGCACTTTCATAGTAAGCGATCAAGAAAAGTTTGTTAAACCAATGCTTTAACTGGAGGATTTAAATCTGTAAAATCACTGTGTGTTGTGTGGGGCGCCCCGGCTGCTTACCAGTTTGGAGGCGGCTGGGAGAAGCCTGCAGGGTGCTCAGGCCACAGGGGCGGCCGTGACTCGGAAGTAAGTGGGCAGCTTAAGGCGGATGACAGCTGACACTTAGGGAGTACGGACCGGGGGGGGGGGGGGGCCCTATTCTAAGCTCTTCACGTGCAGCATCTCTTCTTACCTCCAAACAACCTAAGAGCTACTATCGTTGTTCTCACTTTACAGACGGGGCACCTGAGCTGCTAACTTCTGCAGGATCGCACAGCCAGTAGACAGCAGGGCCGGAATTCAACCCCAGGCGGCCTGAATCACCACCCCAGCGGTGTGACCTCTCCGCTGTACTCACTGGCCCCGCAGGACAGAACCCATACCCCCAGGACGCACAGTACCCAGAATTAGGCATGAGCTATGTTAGGAGGACTGATACTTCTAGAACATGCGAACATGCTTCCTCAACGCGCTGTCCCTGGCAGCACCACAGTGGCACAGAACCTAAAGAACATTCCTAACATTTTGAGCTTTTGCCAAGTGAAGTTTGCCCATTAAAAATAATTATGAAACCATGAGATAAGCAACTTTTTAAAAGGAGGACTCATTTTTTAAACCATTTTATCCAACCTAAATAAAACAAAATTTTCTTCTATTCCCAAATAACAATCTGACTTGTAAAGGTAAAAATGACTTGGCAAATTCATTGGTGTCCCTACAAAGTGCAGAGTGCTGAAAAGCTAGGTGCATAGAAGTGTGTCTGAGTGTGGAACGTAGCATTTCGTTCACAATTTCCCATCAAATACTGCTAAAAATTACCCACTTTTTAAGGAAGTTTATATTCAAGTTACTTAACATCCAGTGTAGTCTTGGCTTCAGGAGGAGAACCCGGTGATTCACCTCTTAAATATGACACACGGTGCTCATCCCGAAAAGTGCCCTCCTTGATGGCCATCACCCATCTAGCCCATCCCCACCCCCCACAGCAACCCTCAAAATCACCTACTTTTGAAGTTAGCCGAAGAGTTGCTTGTAGCAATTTCCTTCCAGGTGGCAATATACCTAAGCACATTATATGGGCATTCATTAAATTAAATCACTGTATTAGTAATAAACTGATCCATTAGTATGTGTTAGACTACTTCTAAAACTCCACTTTCTCTATGAAATCTTGGGTTGATGCTAATTCACAGGTCCAAATGTTGAATTCTCATGACGCTTCCATCTCCAACCAGCTCTCGCGTATCTAGGCAGCCCCTAGAACAAGAGTTGGAGGAGGGATAAAAATGGTGCCTGCCGCCTAGCATGTCCGGGCCCTTTGAGCTCTTTCCACCAAACCTCTTCTCATTTCATCCTGCTTCTTTTTCACAAGACGACGTCCCCAGGTGAGGGCATACTGAGATCTTAGTCAACTTCTAAATTAAAGGTATGAACAGAAAACTCTCTAGGAGAGAAAAAGTCACGGGAAAACAACAAACTCTCTCCTTGGTTCTGGACTGCCACACTTACGGTCTCCACCGTGTCAACGGAAACAAAAAGTGTGCGCTCTATGATCGTACTGGAGCAACAGTGCTATCTCTGCTGTGTCCGGTGGATGTGAGAGATGACACTTAAACCCAGCACGATTTCACGGCTGCCACATCTGTTCCCTCAACAGGGAGATGAGGCTGCCCAAGAAGAGGTAGAACGGGAGGGATCAGGCTACATGATGAGCTACAAAGAGGAGGCAGGTCTGCTGAGGCTTATCCGAGTTCATCTTAGGCTCTACACCCCCTTTCCCAAGCCTCCCTGAAATCAGGTGAAGAGGTGGCTGCACCCAAGAAATCAAGGAAGGAACTGGTCCCAAAAGGTGCAGAGAAAAAAAGAATTCTGAATCACGTAATTCAAAAACTCTGTGATTTTTCAAGTATTTATATATTCCATGTGAACTGTTTTCCCACTTTGGCTGTGTGTTTCTGAAGTTTTGTTGTTGCTGTTACGGGAAGGTATGTATTATCCAAGAGTATTGAATTAAAACAAAGTATTGTGTCTGAGTTGTCTCCTTCCTGTTACTGGTACCTGTTGTTGCTCCAAGTACTTTAGAGCCTTAAATGGGACGCTCCTGGGTTACTGTCACATGAAAAAAATCCAGCTCTTGCTGTCTCTCTTTCAAAATAAATACATAAACTTAAAAAAATAATTTATATCGCTTCTTGTCCTTTTGGCTAAGATCAAGCGTAAGAAAATAATTTAGGCCAATTCTGTCCTCAGTGGTTGCTCAGACAGGAGCACTGTCAGGTGTTGATGGTCAATCATCCTGCTTCCTTGGGTTCATATACTCCAAGTTTTCACTCCACTTTCAAGAAAACAAGATAAAGGTCCTTCATCAATTATATTCTACCACCTAATAGTCGGAAGCACAAACATATCTCTAAAGCTGATTGATAACCCTCCTCTACCTGAGATTAGGGCATGAATTTATTTAATTGATAAAAATTGATAAAAAATCTTTTTCCATAATGAACACACCAGCTGTAACCAATAAGAAATCTAAGTTTTACAAATAGAAGGAACAATCTAATGAGAGCACTTTCACGCTGCATATATCATAGAGCTCATCTGTCTTTCCTACTAAGATATTTTTGGTATATTTTTATAGAATAAAGTGTATGTGGAATCTATAGTGAATCCCTCAGAAGTATGCATTTTTTAAAATTGTTATTTATTTTTGAGAGAGAGTGAGCAGGGGAAAGGGAGAGAGAGAGAGAGGGAGAGGGAGACACAGAATCTGAAGCAGGCTCCAGGCTCCAGGCTCCACACCGTCAGCACAGAGCCCCACGCAGGACTCTAACTCAGGAACTGTGAGATCATGACCTGAGCTGAAGCTGGATGCTTAACCAACTGAGCCACCCAGGCACCCCAGAGAGGCATACATTTAACATCTTAATGGTCCAGGAAAAGTCCCTGGCTAGAAAGGCCACATAATTACATTTCTTAGATATCAAAGGAGCAGCTTCAGACACAGAGATGACCCCCAACACACACGGGCAAAGAGCGCTCACCAACAGGATTCACAGACTGTCAGGAGACTAGGCTAATCCAGCAGCTGACCCCTTAACAGGCTACGTCAAAATTCACTTGCAGTTCTGAAAAATACGAAGACGCTGGAAGAGGGACATCCATCTTCATAGAGAATATGACCCTGGAATGCAGCAGGATAAATGCCAGCAACAGTCACAGCGGCCACCATGTGGTGATGCAAGGATGCTAATGCAAGGGTTGTTTTACATGCTAAGTGCCTGCAGCAACATATCTCTGGACACCACGAAGGGCAACAGTACTCATCAGTGTCCTGGAGTCCAAGAGTTAAGTCAGCTTTGCCTATTCTTCAAAGTAATAACAATAATGTATTCAGGTGGTACTGCTGTAATGTGCATCAGAAGACGCACATGACTGTTCCCAGCGGAGGGCCCAGCTGTCACACCAGGGGCTAGCACACAAGCCATCTGGGGAGAAACTGGCTTGTACCATTTGATTTCAATGTTCAATACACTTCTGTCACTCTAATGGTCTGACTATTGAAAACTCTCTGCAGGTTTTAGTGGCTACCAATCTTCCTGAAGAGAAAAATGTCAGACTCTGAAATTCTCAACAAACAAGGTGTCATTAAGACAGCTGCAAATCTCTAAATGCCTACAAAGATCTAACACAGAGCATGCTGTGGACAATAAATACACTGTGGGGAAGGTACTTACACCTAACATCTGCCATTAGTAGGGGAAGGTCTTCGCAAGTTTGTTCTGGCCTGCGATAATCAGTAGCTTGAGCTCAGTAATGTTAATATTTCCAAATAATCATGCTGGATTCCTGGGAAACTTTTGTTTCCAGGGCTCAATAGGAAAAGTTAGAATACTGTAGCACAGCACTAAAGAAAGCCATCAAACCACACAAGGGAAGAAAGCAAGAGATCAGGAAAGGAACAGAAAAGAACTACAAAAACACCCAGAAAAAAATTAACAAAATGGCAATAAGTGCTTACCTATCAATAAGTACTTTAAATGAAAATCGACTAGGTACTCCCATCAAAACGCACAGGGTGAGGAAATGGATTAAAAAACAAACCCCATCTATATGCTGCCTATAAGAAATCACTTCAAACTAAAGACACATATAGACTGAATGTGAAGGCATGGAATAATGTGAATGGAAGGAGAAAAAAAGCAAGGGTAGCAATATTTATATCAGATAAGACAGCCTTAAAACAAAGACAGCAGCAAGAGACAAAGAATGGCATTACGTAACAATGAAGGGATCAATCCAACAAGATGATACAACCATTGTCAATATCTCTGCACTTAACACAGAAGCACCCAGCAAATGTTAACAGACAGAAAGGGAGAAATAGACACTAATACTAGGAGATTTTAACACGGCATCTATGTCAATGGACAGAGTGCCCAGAAGGAAAATCAGTAAGAAAACAGTGGCTCTGAACAACATGTTAGACCAGACAAACCTAAGAGATGTAGAGGGAAAATTCCATGCAAATGCAGAATATGTATTCTTTTCAAGTGCATGCACAAAGGGCATTCCAAGACAGATCACATGTTAGGCTACAAAGTCAGGCCAGAAAAGAAGTCTCAATAAATTTAAGAAGATTTAAATCACATCAAGCATCTTTTTTTTTCTTTAAAAATTTTTAACATTTATTTATTTTTGAGAGACAAAGTGCAAGTGGGGGAAGGGCAGAGAAAGAGGGAGATACAGAATCTGAAGCAGGCTCCAGGCTCGGAGCTGTCTGTCTGCACAGAGCCCAACATGGGGCTTGAACCCATGAACCGTGAGATCATGACCTGCGCCGAAGTCAGATGTTTAAACGACTGGGCCATCCAGGTGCCCCATCAAGCATCTTTTCTGACCACAACAGTATGAAACTAGAAATAATTAAAAAAAAAAAAAAAAAAAACTTTGAAAAATCACTAACACATGGAACCTAACAACATACTACTAAACAACCAATGGGTCAACCAAGAAATCAGAGGAAATAAAAAAATACTTGGAAACATGAAAATGAAGCACAACAGTCCAAAATCAGTGGGATGCAGCAGAAGCAGTTCTAAGAGAGAAGTGTATAATAATATAGGCCTACCTCAAGAAACAAGAAAAATCTCAAACAACCCAACCTTACACCTAAGGAACTAAAAAAAGAACAAACTAAGCCCAAAGCCAGTAGAAGGAAAAAATAATCAAGATTAGAGAGGAACTAAATAACATAGAGACTAAAAGAAAAATAGAAAGGATCAATGAAACCAAGATGTAGTTCTTTGAAAAGATCAACAAAATTGATAAACCTTTAGACTCATCAAGAAAAAAAGAGAATAAAATCAGAAATGTAATCAGAAATTACAGCAGACACCGGAAATATAAAAGATTATAAGAGAATATTATGTAAAATTATATTCCAACAAATTGGACAATCTGGAAGAAATGGATAAATTCCCAGAAACATATGATGTTCTAAAATTAAATGAGGAGGAAATAGAAAAATTTGAACACATCAATTACTAGTTATGAAATTGAAGTGGTAATCAAACAACTCCCAACAAACGAAAGTCCATGACTATATGGCTTTACATGTGAATTCTACCAAACATTAAAAAAACTTTTTTAATATTTATTTTTGAGAGAGAGACAGACAGAATGCAAGCAGGGGAGGGGCAAAGAGAGAGGGAGACACAGAATTTGAAGCAGGCGCCAAGCTCTGAGCTGTCAGCACAGAGCCAGATGCTGGGCTTGAACCCACAAACCATATCATGATCTGAGCTGAAGTTGCATGCTTAAGTTACTGAGCCATCCAGGGGCCTCTACCAAACATTTAAAGAAGAGTTAAATCTATTCTTCTTCTCAAACTGTTCCAAAAAATAGATGAGAAAGGCAAACTTCCAAATTCATTCTGTGAGGCCAGCATTACCCTGATACCAAAACCAGTCAGACGTGACAGAAATACAAAACATAACAATGGGCTAATTTACCTGATGACACACATGTAAAAATCCTCAACAAAATACTAACAAACTGAATTTGGTAATACTTTGAAAGGATAATTCACCACAATCAAGTGGCACAAGAGTAGTTCAGTAGTTGTAAATCAATATGATACATCATGTTAACAATAAGAAGGAAAAAAAAACATATGATACTCTCAACAGATGGAAAAAAACCATTTGACAAAATATAACATCATTCATCATTTAAAAAAAAAAATCTCTCAACCAAGTGGGTTTAGAGGGAACATACCTTAATATAATAAAAACTAATATGAAAAACCCATAGCTAACAATGGTGAAAAACTGAGAGTCTTTCTTCTAAAATCAGGAACAAAGCAAGAATGTCCACTCTCACCACTTTTATTCAACACAGTACTGGAAGTCCTAGCTGCAGCAACCAAACAAGAAATAAAAGGCATCTAGGGGCGCCTGGGTGGCTTAGTCAGTTAAGAGTCTGACTTTCGCTTAGGTCATGATCTCGCGGTTCGTGGGTTCGAGCCCCTCGTCGGGCTCTGTGCTGACTGCCAGCTCAGAGCCTGGAGCCTGTTTCAGAGTCTGTGACTCCCTCTCTCTCTGAGCCTCCCCTGCTCACGCTGTCTCTCTCTCTCTCTCTCCTAGAAATAAATAAAATATTTAAAAAAAAAAAAAAAGAAATAAAAGGCATCTAAATCGGTAAGGAAGAAGTAAAACTGTCACTATTTGCAGTTGACATGATAATACATATAGAAAACCTGAAAGACTCCACCAAAAACCTATTAGAACTCATAAATGAATCCGTAAATTTGCAGAATGCAAAATTAATATTATACAAAAATCTGTTGCATTTCTAGGCACTAATAATGAAGTAGCAGAAAGAGAAATTAGGAAAAGAATTCCATGTATAATTGTACCAAAAAGAAAAAGATATCTAGGAATAAACTTAACCAACGAGGTGAAAGACCCATACTCTTAAAACTGTAAGACGGAGATGAAAGAAAATGAAAACAACACACATGGAAAGATATACCATGTTCATACTTTAGAAGATTAATGTCGTTAAAATGTTCATACCACCCAAAGCAATCTACAGATTTAATGCAATCCCTATCAAAATACCAACAGCATTATTCACAGAACTAGAACATATAATCCTACAATTCATATGGAACCACAAAAGACCCCAAATAGCCAAAGCAATCTTGAGAAAGAACAAAGCTGGAGCTATTACAATCTGAGATTTCAAAATACACTACACAAAGCTACAGTAGTTAAAACAGGATGGTACTGGCACAAAAACAGACACATAAATCAATGGTATGGGATATGGAACCAGAAATAAACTCATGTTTATATGATTAAGTAATCTATGGCAAAGGAAAAAAGAATATACAATATTCTCTTCAATAAATAGTGCTGGGAAAACTGGACAGCTACATGCAAAAGAATGAAGCTGGGCCACTTTTTCAAACTGCACAGAAAAAAACCCTCAAAATGCTTACAGACCTAAATGTGAGACCTAAAACTACAAATCTCCTAGAAAAAAAAATAGGCAGTTATTTCTCCATATTGGCCTTAGCAACATTTTTCTAGCTATGTCTCCTCAGGCAACGAAAACAAAACCAAAAATAAACTACTGGGATTACACCAAAATAAAAAGTTTTTACACAGCAAAGTAAACTGTAAACAAAACAAAAAGGCAACCTATTGAATGGGAGATATTTACAGATGAAATATATAATAAGGGATTAATATCCAAAATATATTAAGAGCTTATACACCTCAATACACAAAAAACAAGAATTAAAAATGGGCAGAAGACACATGAATAAACATTTTTTTTCAAAGTAGACATACAGATGGCCAACAAACATATGAAAAGATGTTCAACATCACTAATCATCAGCCAAATGCAAATTAAAACCACAATGAGGTATCACCTTCTACTTGTGGCTAGAATCAGAATGACAAGAAACAGTAACTGTTGGTGAGGATGTGGAAAAAAGGAAATCTTCTTGCACTGTTGATAGGAATGTAAATTGGTGCACCACTGTGGAAAACAGTATGGATGTCCCTAAAACTTAAAAAGAGAAATACCATTTGATCCAGTAATTTCACTACCGGGTATTTCCAAAAGAAAAAAAATCTATGAATTTGAAAAGATATGTATGTTTATTGCAGCATTATTTATAGTAGCCACAATATGGAGGCAACCCAAGTGTCCACTGATGGATGAATGGATAAAGAGGTGGTGTATACACACACACACAGGCACACACATAGTGAAATAATACTCAGCCATAAAATGAGCTCTTGACATATGTGGATGTCAACCACATATGTCATGAACTATGTCATGAAATATGGATGAACCTAGAAGGTATATTGCTACGTGAAAAAAGTCAGACAGAGAAAGACAAGTACGATAAGATTTCACTTTGTATGGTATCTAAGAAACCAAACAAATGAACAAACAGAAAATAGAATTGGTGGTGGTTAGGAGGTGAGTGGCAGGATGGGTGAAACAGATCAAGGGGATCATGAGGTACAAATGTCCAGTTACAAAATAAAGAAGTCACAGAGGGGAAAAGTACAGCATCAGGGATGCAGTCAATACCGTTGTAATAAAGCTATATGGTGACAGATGGGGACTGCACTTCATGCAGTGAGCACTGAGCTATATATACAATTAGTGAATCACTATGTTATAGACCTAAAACTCATAGAACATTGTAAGTTGACTACACTTCAATGAAAAAAAAAACCAAACACCTAGGAGCGCCTGGGTGGCTTAGTCGGTTAAGTGTCCAACTTTGGCTCAGGTCATGATCTCGTGGTTTGTGAATTCGAGACCTGCATCAGGCTCTGTGCTGACAGTGCAGAAGCTGTTTTGGATCTTCTGTTCCTCTCTCTCTCTCTGCACCTCCCCATCTGTCTCGGTCTCTGTCTCTCAAAAATAAACATTTAAAACAAGAAGACTTTGGTCTAATTTTTTTCTACTTTTACATCATCTTTTTTTTTTTTTTATTTCTAGGAGAGAGAGAGAGAGACAGACAGCACGAGCAGGAGAGGGTCAGAGAGAGAGGGAGTCACAGACTGAAACAGGCTCCAGGCTCCGAGCTGGCAGTCAGCACAGAGCCCGACGCGGGGCTCGAACCCACGAACCGCGAGATCATGACCTAAGCGAAAGTCGGATGCTTAACCGACTAAGCCACCCAGGCGCCCCACATCATCTTTTTTATATCCTTCAGTTCTTCTTTATTCTAAACAAACAATACTCTTCTAAAAAAAAAATAAGTATTATGTTTGTGGGCCCAAGATTTGACATGGGAGTGGAAACAAAAACACACGAGGCCTGCCCTGCTCCCCAAACAAGAAGCACGTATTTACTCATCAAAGTTGAGTGCGTTGGTCCAGTTCAGCACTTCGTCCACCTCCCATTCCATCACAGAATCGATTCCACCGATTTCGAGAGCTCTCATTAGCCCTTTCGTTGCTGTGTGAATTAAATCTAGAGTTTTAGCATTTGTTGACCTGGCCTCTAGGTTTCCTGCGTAGTACCTAAATGGGGGAAGGGAAGGAAGATATGAACCTTGTCAAACAGGTGATTTCTAGTAGATGCAGTTAATATAAATGTAAAAATATACATATTTAAACCAAGTTTTCACCCTGCTTAACTCAAATACATTTAGACCAGTACATAGGGCTGTTACGATACAATGAAAAACCAAGTTATTAACTGAATCAGAATTATAGAGTCAAAGAATCTTGGAGAGCAAATAACTAGTCCTCTAGTCTTATAGGAGAGAAATTATGTCCTGGAAGAGCTGACTGACTTTTATGAGGTCACGTGGCTAATGGTGGGTAAGAAGAGGAAAGGAGAGGGGAACAGGAAAGAGGAAGGGACGGAGAGGCAAAGGGAAGACAAGATGGTAACATCTTTTTTTGTGTCAAGTACTTTTCATACATTATCGTGTTTAATTCACTTTAAAAAGACACAGCTATTTTTATTCCCATTTTATGAATGAGGAAATTGAGAGCTGGAGAACTTAAATTGTTCAAGATCATGTACATAGTAAATACAGACGCCAGAGACAGTGTCTGAATGACTCCAAGTCCAGATTTCTTGGGCAGCACCATTCTGTCTTATGGTAGTCTGAGCACATAAATGAATGCATCCACAAAATGTGAGCTAAGTGTGTAGGTTAGCATTCCTCACAAAGAATATTACAAAACAGCCTTTTTCTTTGGTTTTTTCATTTTAAGATCTACATTTAAGATCTACATCTTATTCCATTTTTAAAGTTAACTCACTCTGAAGTTGTTTTCATTTATTAATTCACATTGATTAGGGAGTGGCATGGTGGTAGCCTAGAGCTGGGTAGGCCTCCGACATCCAACTATGGCTTTGAGTCTTGCTTCTGTGATTTACCAGCTCTATGACTTTTGCCAAATGACCTAGTCTTTAGATTAGGTTATTAATCTAGCCTAGGCTTTAGATTACTTTAAAGTGGTAATCCCAACACTCCTTAGCATTCTTGAGGGGTGCAGACGTGTAAGTCCCTATACAAGCATTTGGAATGATGACTGGCACATTGTAAGCATTCAGTAAAGAAGGCTTACCAATTCCTGGATGGCAGGGGAGAGCGCAGTGACAAGATATGTCTCTGCCCTCATCAAGTGTCTGCTTTCTCAAACTTTAAAGGGATAATGACCCATGAGAGCTAATTTCATAAAAGCAGGAACATGCCTCTCGATTTATATTGGTTAGTATGAGCAGAAATCTAAGAAAGTATGAATTCACAATCTTTCTACCACCCCCAATTGCAAAGCGCTGTGTACAGAGGTGGGATTCCTTTGTGAAACCTGCCATCTTCTACCCAAATTCCCTGAACATAATAGACACTCAAAAAAAAAAAAAAAAAAAAGTATGTACCAAATGAATGAATGAATGAATGAATGAATGATGGTACCCAATGGATGGTCCAGGTTTATGAACTAATGCTCACGTCACAACAAAAATGCATTTAGAAATCAGAAACTTCTGGAAGGCTAAGAGTGAGAGCATTTTTTGTGAGTTCCTCCACATTTTACCTTTGCAAATGTACACTTGAGATTAGATTTGGAAACGTGGATGATATTTATTTTTCCTTTGACAACAGTGATTTACAAGAGTTCAGTTACTATTTTTGCTCTCACCAAGGATATATAGAAAGGTGATTGGTTTTAAAGAGTATTATAATACTCATTCCAATAATTTAATTGTTTTAAACTCTTCAAATATAAGTCACTATTTATAGTTAAGTAGGCTATAATAGTACTCAAACAAGAGTAGCAAGTAGAATACAATTTCAAACAATAGTGACCAGAAGATTATCTTTTTTTTAATATATATATTTTTTATTTATTTCTAGGAGAGAGAGAGAGAGAGAGAGAGAGCGTGAGCAGGGGAGGGTCAGAGAGAGAGGGAGATACAGACTCTGAAGTAGGCTCCAGGCTCTGAGCTGGCAGTCAGCACAGAGCCCGACGCTGGGCTCGAACCCACGAACCGCGAGATCATGACCTAAGCGAAAGTCGGACGCTTAACCGACTAAGCCACCCAGGCGCCCCCAGAAGATTATCTTATAATAATCATAACTTGTCTTAAAATAAATGAGTGGTATTTAAAACAAAAACAATATAAACTTTGGCTTTATAGGTAATGTTGCAATATGTCCATTTTAAAATGTTCTCCTATTCTTTCTATGATAGAAAAGTTAAAGAGAGTGGGGGCGCCTGAGTGGCTCAGTTGGTTAAGCATCCGACTTCAGCTCAGGTCATGATCTCGCGGTTCGTGGGTTCGAGCCCTGTGTCAGGCTCTGTGCTGACAGCTGCTCAGAGCCTGGAGCCTGTTTCCGATTCTGTATCTCCCTCTCTCTGACCCTCCCCTGCTCACACTGTCTCTCTGTAAGAAATAAATGTAAAAAAAAAAGTTAAAAGGAAAAACATAAAAATGTTTTTCTGAATATACCAACAGGGGAAGAAGTTAAAATGCGGAAGACCTAGTAAGAATTGAAGTGGGTTTTTTTTTTTAATATTCATTTATTTTGAGAGAGAGAGTGGGAGGGAGGGAAAGAGAGAGAGTGCACATGCACCAGTGTGGAGGGACAGAGAGAGAGGGAGAGAGAGAATTCCAAGCAGGCTCCATGCTGTCAGCATAGAGCCCAACGCAGGGCTCAATCCCATGAACATTTCTTCTTCACCTACTGCAACCTTACAAAAAGGAAACTACAACATCCAGTTATAAGGATTCACTCACTCACTTGCTCATTCAACAAGCAACACATATTCATTAAGCATCTACTATGTCCAGTGGAGGTGGCAAATAAACAGAGATGTGCAAAAGTGTGACAACTGAGTACGTAAGACACCTATGTGGACACCCCAAAAAAAGTGCCTGTGCCTAGGTAAGTCAGGGAAGGCTTGAAAACGAGATATGCGAACCAAGTATCAAAAGATGGATCTTGTTGCCATGTAACTGAGCCGGAGAAGAGCAACCTAGGGAGAGGGAGCGTCATGTGATGTAGGTAAGGGTGAGCCCCTGGCATGTCTCATAAGGAGGTGATCTGTGTTTTGGAAATATCACTTCAGTGTTTATGCAGAGATGGGGAGAAGATTAGAGACGAAGAGACCAATCAGAAGGACTCTGCAGATGCAGGAGGGAGAACAATGAGAAGCTGCCGCAGGGAGGGAGAAAAATGCCAGTTTTGGGAGGTTCTTTGGAGGAGGAATTAATGGGACTTTATGACAGATTACACATGGGGGCTTATGAAAGGTAAGAAGTCAAGTCTAACCCCCTACTTTTCTGGCTTGGACGATTGGGTAAATAAATGACAGGGTCATAAACTGAGGCCAAGAGGAATACTGAAAAGAAACAACTTTGATGATGAGGAATATAAGAAACCAGCATAAGATCTGTTGACTTTGAGATGGAAATGTCCATGTAATTAGAAAAACAGAGCTCAGTTATGGATGAGGACTGTTTCGAGAGTAAATAGAGGAAAGAAAAAAAGAGATAAAACAGATTAGTATTCATGTGCAGCGACTTATTACCAGGTGTCACTGCTGGTGCTGGGCCTGATGGCCGGCAAATCATGCTGCTGTTCTGTCAGAGACAGCTGCTTCTAAGCGATGGCACATATGGTGAGTGTATTTTGTTGTTCTCAACCTATTATCATGCTTCTTTTGCTGCAAATGGGCTCCCTGGTTAGAGGCAATGTTGTACGGAATAAGATGATGATGGATAAGACTTCTGTTATAAATGGTATTGGTGACAGAAGTAACGCAGAGAAAGAATATCCACATCCAGAATATCTGTTTCTCGCTGTGACTACAAAGGGACTCCGTCTCTCCACGGGAAGGGTCCAAGAGCATCTGCCTGCCGCCAGGCAGCCAGCACATCCCACTGCTGGAGGCAAAGCAGCGGCCTCTGCTGTACACCTAGCTCTGACGACAGAGCCAGAACAGCCTCCATGAGGAAAAGACCATGTTTAAGAGTCATCTGTAGTCTCCATCCCGATACCCACGGCCACTCTGTACCTGGCTCTAGGGAGCAACCACTGAGGTGGCCAGGTGAAAACACTGACATCCGAAGGTTGGGTCATTCTGTCCATCTGAATACTGAGAGCTTTCTGCCTCATAAGCCCTTCAGAGGGCACTCACATGGACACAAGTTTACTCTATGCCCATTCTCAGGAAGCCTGTCCCCTAACTCAATCACTACTTTTTCAATTTAATTCCAAGTACCCAATCATCTGAGAAGCTACTAGTTGCTGAGCACAGTCAATAAGATCTCAGTCTCAAGCTAGTTCCCCTTCCTACGTGAAGTAGAAAGCTGGCTGTGCTCACTGAGAGGATACCCTTTGGCCATTTTCTGGGCCTAATGAGGGGTTGTAACCTAGTGACTGTCCATATGTGGATGTTGCCAGAATCCTGTAAAGGTCCATGGGAATGAGACCTATTGTAGTCTATTAGTGGGTCACAGGGGACTCCCTCTGAAGCCAAGGGCATGGGGATGATGCAGAGCCAACGAAGCCTAAGCAGGGTGAAGGGACCCGAGCATACAGCTTACCAGAGCCCTTGGACCTTCTCAGAGCCGTTCTTATCCATTCCGCGTCTACTGTGTATGGAGATGGCGCTGTTCACTCTCAGTTTTATGGTTCATTGGATTAGATAACGGCCAGGTCAGTTCATAATCACAGAGCACCTGGAATCCTACTGCCAAGCATCCAGTCTCTACCAAGGCCCAGTAGCAGAACCAGAACGGATCCTCATATGTAACATAGCTGTTGGCAGAGCAGGGCACTACCTTTCTCCTAAACCCTCTGTGCTGAGATCCTCTCGTTACAACTCTTGAGAGGCTCCACACACAAGTTCACACTCTGGCACACACATTTCCGATTCTGGTAGGCCTGCTTGGCCATCAAGGCCAAGTGGTAGGGCAACATGACCACACCATGGACCTGCCACCACGTTTGTAAGAACACCATGTCCCACTGGAGCCCCGTAGCCTCATCAGGTTG